GCTTCGATGACTACTGCGAGGGCGATAAAGTGTGATTTATGGGGGGCAGAAATCGACGATTTGCCCGGTCATCGATGAAAATCGACGGTTTTTCTTCAGGGCACACCCCCGTGCTACAGTCTCAGAAAGGAAGAGCAAAATACAAGGAAATCGATGACAGCAGTGATGTTTCCCTACGCATAGTATTTCTTGTTGGCGAGGGGCTTGTAAGCTCTCTTGTCTTACCAAGTTTGCCGGCATCTCACCCCGGTCCATGCCTCTTTTTCTTTACCACTGTCCTTCCGAGAGCATACCGGTATCGAGATTGCTACTCCGTACCGTACAGGTTTGTTTGTCTGTTGGGATGCCCGAGAAGCCGTTGCCCGCCATTCACCCGTCGGTCAGCACGCGGGGTGCCGGCATCACCATCTTGCTGTCAGAAGAGGTCAGCCTGCATCAAAGTGTATTTCAAACTTCCGTTGACAGTTGACAGGGACATTCACCAAGAACTGACACGCACATACGAAAAATACACCCGTGTTACCGTTTTGCGCTGATATTAATACCCACTACGGATAAGCCCGGATTTAATTCCATTAGCACAAGGTTCAAAAAGGGCCGCTAGCCAACGGGTACACCGTTACAGTTTGACAGTCTGTTGCCGTTAACGTTTTCCCGATTGCACATTCAGGGATCGGTGTTTGGTGATGGGTATTTTTGACGACATTGTCTGATGAACTCCATCTCGAACTGCTGGTCGAGTCCCAGTCCTCGGATGGATCTTGAAGCCGGTACGGATCCAAGTGCGCAGGACAGGACAGGTCCCCAACATGGCATGCCGGATAGGCACGGAGTATTTGGTAATAGTTTCCTATCGAGTCCAGCGACAACGGAGCAACACTTTTACTCTCGTCGTGAGCTATTGAGAAGTGGTCACGAGAAGCGATGAAGACAACGAAAAGATGGATTAGGATGATAGTCTTGTGGATACCGAGTTATTTCCTTTTCGGTCCGTATCCGATTTTACCCTAATTTTCTCTTACTTGCTATTTTCTCATCCCAATTGGACAGCTGGATCTTGCATGCCTGAAAGATGCCCATCCAAATCCCTGGAAATCGCCTGAGGGCCTAGAACTTTCCCTTTCATGGCACCTGGAAATGGCATCTTTGACGGAGACAGCAGGAAAGTGCACCACCTGTTCAACTCCACCGCACCCACTCGCAGGGGGAAGGCACGGGGCCACCCACTGGCAGGTGGGTGGTAATCTTGAAATCTTGGTGGGGTGAGCGGGAATGCTGGCTTCCATCTCTCGATCTCGTCATCTCACCGTTGCTTCGACCTCCTTCCTCCGTGTGGATGGCTCTTGTTTTTGAACCCGTAACCTGTCTAACTCTCGGGAAGGTTTCTTTTATTGGGGACCAAACTGTGGACCGGGCACTCACCGACTCGGTATCCCGAACTCAGCGTTATCGAAGCAACACTTTACCCATACCAACATCGTCTAAATTACCTAAACAAACCGCCTCGAAGAACTCAACTCCTCGGACGCGGAACGGAGACGAGAAGACCAAAGACGGACCTCCTTTTTATTGTTGGGAATACGGTACTTTGGTACTGAGCTGGTTCTTGGCCGTAAATTGGCACCCTTATCACGCTCTGTTGTTTTCCGCTCGCATTTCATCTCTTTGCCCAAAACTTCGGCAACCTCGTGTGCTGCAATAATCGTACGACTTGAGGTCCTCAGCCGCTAGGGATCGCCAGGGATCGTAGAAGGAAAGGCCGGGAGGGGGGTGAAAACGGGTCCGTGATCCCACACGCCCCATGCCGCCAGACCCCTGTCCATGTCTCCATCGTCTGTTTCTCGCGCCGGCAAGCTTCACGATGCTAAACAAACCACGATCCTGATTCCTTGTTTGTGTATTCTGGCTGGCTGACTCTGTGGTTTTCTCCAGGGTACTACTTCCGCCAAGCAACAAACATATTCCGGAACAAGAATTGCGCTCCGGGTACGGATACTTCCAGTCCAATTTCACCTCACTAGGCTACAAGCAGACTCCGGCTCAGCACCGAGGTGAGCACAGCTTTCACTCCCTCCGGCGTCTCGGAAACCGGCTTGCGCCCACGTTCCAAATCTGCTACCACTAGTTCCACTGCTTTGTCTCTGCTGCGTTTTCCTGCGCAGAGAACAAACTCGGGCACTCTCTGAGCATGATGGCCACGGCGTAGCAAGCGCCCGCCCAGGAGACGTCGTGTCTGTAATTCACTTCCCGTGCACAAGTTAACTGTATCATCTTGCTGTTGTAGACATTACGGGAACAACCGCGGCTTCAGCTCACTCGTTCAATGGCCCCTGAGAAGCCTCGTGACCAACAAGAGATGGACCATAACAGCTCATCATCCCAAAATGGAGCCAGCGCCAGCAATGGCACATCACAATCATCACCAGCGTCGTCTACATCGGTTACGAACCATCTAACTCAGGTAAGTCAACTCAAGACGTGCCGGGGCCGACTTGTCCACGTCGTCATAGGGGTCCTTCACCCTTGACATATCTCAGCCCTACACGTGTAAATACCAAAGCTTCTTGGGCACTGGCTGACATAACCCCTCCTCCCTCTTGGGGGAGAGTACATGGGGTTCTAGGCCCTCAGAGACCTTGCTAGGTACGTGATGATGGCACGATTTTCTTTCTTTTCTGATTACCCTGTCTCATACAATTTCCATGGCGAAATACGACACCTGCACCACAAACCGATGAAGCCAGAAACTGCGAATTTACTGCCGTCTATCCGTCTGCCGCTTGTGCATTCCTTGAAAATCCCATGCTGCGCGCGTGGTCGTGGCGTGGGGGAGGGAAAGGAGGGGAGTGTAATTCGCAATTTCAGGGTCCTTTCTCTTTCTCTGTCGTCTTTCCTGCTTGCATTCTCCTTCGCCGCACCGGAAATTCGCCGAATATTTGTCTCGCGGCTTGGTTCCGTGAGCATTGACATGGCCTGACAGGACTGCAAGTGTGTCTGTCTCTCCGGCATGGAGAATATTTGATGGAGAGACAAAATACCGGACAATCTTTTGAAACCCCTTCTTTTTCATGTTCCTCGCCAATCAACAACAGGATCGTGTATCTGCATTGCCGATCTGAGATCTCCTACCCAAAGCCCCGGAAAACCAGCTGGACCCTGATTTTTGTCTCTTCTCCTCCCGAAGGACAGAAATGCGTTCATGGCTTCCGGATGCAAGGGGCAAATGGGGACCGGGGAATGAAGCTCCCTCTCCCCATTTGGATTTACTACCTTACACGGTATGGACCAAGCCCCAAACCGATGTGGTGTTTGGATGGCCCAAAATCCCATACCTCCTATTTGCTTGGCCCCGACAAATTATCAGCTCATTTTTGCATAACCCAGGTTTTGTCTATTTCTTATTATTGCCCATCTTTCAGATTCCCATACCAATACCCCTTTTTCGAACGGTTTCGGAAATGGGAATAGGACACCAAACATGCCAACAAGCTTGACTTGGGCTTTGAACACTAGTTTCTCACGCTGTGCAAGTGCCTGTCGGATGTCCTGAACTTGTCTTTTCCAGCACGGAATGCCGTAGCGCATAATTCCTTCGGCTGGCTTTGAGTACCGGAGGTGGGTGATGATGCTGACATTTTTTCTTCTCGGTCCGGCGATAGAGGCGAGACTGCGGCTGCCGCTCTGGAGGCGAACTTGACGGCTTTGGAGACTAAACTCGATGATATCCTCGCTTCGTTGGGCGTCGAGATTGGGGACCTTGATGATGAGGCTGGGGAGGACCAGGAGGATGGTGATAAGGCCACGGCGAAGAAGGACGATGCTGTAGCGGCGACGACACAGGAAGCCGCAGGGAGTGCTGAGAGTAAAGACACCGCGACGACGAAATGAGGCCAAGGAGAGAATACGCGGTTCGAGCACCGTGCTATCCGAGACGACTTTCGTTGAATGAGTTTGTGTCTAGACAGATACCTGCCTTCTACCTATAGACTTGTTTTGAGACCAACCTCGACTTCAAGGCGCGGATTCTGAGTTTGGTAGCCTTGTTTATGGTCTTGTAAGCTTGACTGTCATATGTGTTATCAACAATTATCGATGCCTCAACGTGAGACGAGCTTGAAATGGAGGAGAGTGCCCTCATTCAGCCTTGCTGATGGGAGGCACCTAGCTTGGTCTCTGGTCTTTTGCGAGTATTTAGCTACCCGGCTCTGTGATTCTTGCCAGAACATCGTCGAAACATCACAGTCCCTAGGTACCAACCCGGACATTGAGGGCCACTGAGAATATACTGCCTACATATGTCACTAGGAGAATGTTCTTGAGCACCGTGTGACGACGATAATAGTCTTGAGAGCGCTGCCGATGCCAACTGACCAGCATATTGACTGGCGTGTACAAGAAGAACATCAAACCTACCCACTGGAGGAGATATGCCGTTGCCTATCGAGGCAGTAAATAACACGTACTGCATTTGCTGTCTTGATGAACAGTACCGGGCTCTTGGGGTGAATAAGATTATACAGATCCAAACATGAACCTCATGGACCACAGCATGATATACATCTGTAAGAACATCCGTTATCATAAGATATAATAAAACAAGTGGTCGTCAGCACGCCTGTCTCTCTATTACATCTGCTTGCCTGGCTGTTTTCCCGCCTATCTATACTGTAGAAGCCAGGAAAAAGGATACCGAGTCGAGAAGGTCGTAACAGCTTTACAGATTACTGGTGGACGGATATGCAAGTATATGACTGTCTGGATAGTGTTGAACTCAATTGCCAGGAGCGAAGTCTGAGAATCGTACGTACACAATCTATATCCAGCACCTTCCTTGACTCGTGGTTGGGTGCCTAGATACCTTCCTTAGCAACCTAGATGAGTGAACTCGAATCAACGGAAGAAGGTTCAGTCCGACTGGACTAACCAGATTAAAGTTCAGACCAACATAACTCAAGAACAAGAAAAGCCGGACTAGCTTTCAACACCATATCAAAAGGAAAGCGTTGGTAGTTTAATGGTAAAATCCAGTGGTAAGAACTTTCATTGCAACTGGGCTCCGGGTTCGATTCCCGGCCAACGTACACTTCTTCCTCCCCCGGCTTTATCTTTTTTTTTTGTTTCTTTTTTTCTTCTTCTTAATCTTTCTGATCTACCGGCTAGAATCCCGTTAATCAGGTAGTTAAATCGTGTTCTAGAGCTACAGCAACACCCTTCGCCGCCTTTGAATGAGATGACGCCATTACCAGCTACCACCAGGGCGGGCGAGTAGGCACTGATGATGGATGATTCAGACGATTTTCTACGACCCGGCTATGAAGAAAGAGCTTATTGTACCTCAGAGCATATAACAAGACAGCTTTTTCTCGGATTAGAGACAGTATACTATGCTACTCGAAGACAAGACGAAAGAAAAGCAGACATCCGGATTACACTGGGTTAGAACTAACGACGTCCTCGGTCTCCCAACACTGCACGAGCAGGAAAAGAAGAGAATTTGCTGCTATCCGCAGCGAGAATCGGCATTTTACTAACTAACCATGAGGGAGGGGGGGGGCTTAAGCCTAATGTTTTCCTCTGTTACCGGTTCTCGTGGGGAAAATTGGAGCATTATAGGTGGTTATACACAGACAGGCCTCTGGACTGAAATATTTGGATGAAAACGGGATCATAGTCTCAAGCAAGTCTAGGTCTGGACAACTATCGATCCCATCCCGTCGAGAACCTGGGTAGGTAGGTGGGTATTAAGACGTGGAAACTTTCAAATCAAGCACTACGTGAATAGCCATGCCTCCTCCTCACCTTGCAAACTACCCATCGAGACGGGACGAGGCCAGGCTAAGCCAGTTGAGTCTGCTGCATGGGAAAAACCATCACCAATCCATTCGACCATCGACAGACACTATCCAAAGTAGATGGGCATGTCAGGTAAAGTAGGTAATCCTCCCCACATTGACCAGAATATGGTATATATATATAATATAGTGTGGGGGGCATTAACATAAACTTCCATATATAGTTCGACATCAACATTTGCAACGCGCCTTCCGACCTGCCATGTGTTCATTCCATTGCCTTTTCCTTCCATGTTTCCTAAACATACTCTCACCAGAAAGAAACATCAAGCCAGCCAGCCGTGTGACAAAAAAGGTACGACGTGATAGGAAGCGAACAAAAAAAAAAAAAAAGACGAACGAATGAATAAATATAAACCAAATCCTCACATGCCGGTCACAGAAAGCATGACAATCACCCTCCCAAACCTGATCGACAGAAAAAAGCAAACATCAAATACAAAGCAAACAAAAAGCTAGAAAACAAAGCTGTGACTAATCCCCACCACCCTCAGCAATAACAGCGCTCCAGTCCTTCCTAATAGTCAACTCGGTCAACTCGGGCGTCTTCTCGATGATCAAGCCCTTTTCGTTCGCCAGATGAAGCACACAGATGAAGGCGAAAGACGTCGAGATGTCGTCCATTTGTTGTCTTGGGTAGACGGATTTCAGGTTGTTGACTATGGACGTGAATTTGAGGGTTGGGCCTTCCTCTTCGGTTTGTTTTTGTTTTTCGGGGGAGAGGGATGGTGTTGGGAGGTGGGTGTTTTGTTGGTCCTGTTTGTGAGCAATTTGAGTTAGCAAGCTGAGCTGGGAAGAAGGAAAGGATGAATGGTAGAGGTGAATGGATGGGTATAGATAGGATACGGGCTTGGTGGGCCGTGAATGGGGAGCCGTTTTGTTGACATAACAACAAACAGCCGGAAACGCAGATTGAGAGTCCAAAAGAAACCAAGGATGAAAGGGAAACACCGCAAAAAAAGAAAGAAAACATACCCTCTCCATTTCCAACCTCTCCAAATCCATGCCCTTCCAAATCTCCTCCTTCAACCTTCTAACATCCACCTTTTTCGCAGTCCGAGCATAGGCCACATACTCGGGCCTGACCCTCCGACTCTGAGTGACAAGCATAGTGCCAAACGCCAAATCAGCCGGGTTCGTAACCGTCAAGCCGCCAAAAGCGCCCGTCATACCCACTTCAGTCATCATATTCCCGCCGCCGGGCAGATCAGGACTGAAATGTTCCCTCGCGTCGGCGAATTCATCGTCCATGTCGTCGTCGTCGTCTGCCCCGCCTGCGAAGGGCAGGTCGCCGTCTTGGAAGAAATTCGCGTCGTAGTCGCCTTGTGGTAGGGCTGTGTCGTCGCTTCCGTGGTGGTCGCCTGATCGTGAGCCCGAGTCGGGATTGGGGGCTTGTTGCGAGGCCCAGAATGCTTCGTCCATTTCGCCTTCTGGGAGGTTGTTATTTCCTTGGGCATGGTCGTGATTTGAGGTGCCGAATATACTGGGCTTGGTTCCTAAACGACGACGGGCACCCATCCTTGCTTTGGGCTTGAGGAATAGGCTTAGTAGCTGGCGCGAGCTGAAATGCTTGTCGTCTGGTAGGAGGTTGCGCGACTTGGACTTCCAGTCTTTCTTTGGGAGAGAGATTGTCGTGTTGGAGGTTGCTTGGGTGTAGATTACTTCTGCTACTGCTGGGTCAAGCGCTGACATGAAATCGATTTCGAAAGGTTGTTTTTCTTTGCGCTGGCGTGCAGGCTCGGTCGGTTTGTTGACGTCCTTGATCTTGCGTATCCTCCAGTGCTCGGCGCTGGTCCAGTTCTTTTGCAGCGCCTGGTCAAAGTAGCCCAGGATGTCTTCGTGCAGGTGCTGGTTCTGGTTGGCCATGGAGACGGCAAAGTCGCCTACGCCACCGGCGCCCGGATGGTTGGCCGGACCGAGGAGGTCAATGTTGTCGCCGTCTTCTCCTTCCCCGGGCGCACCACCGCCTAGCCCGGCGTCGAATACGCGCATCATCTGCGGCTCGAGAGCGGCTTCTCGTGCCCAGGCCTCGCCGCCTTCGCCAAAATCTACGTCGGCTCCGAGGTCAAACGCGCCGAGTCCATCGTCGTCGTCAAAGCCGAGAGGGTTCTCCTCGTCGATGAACATGCCCGACTTGTCGCCTGGTCCCGGCGTCTTTTCCTTGTCGTTGTAGTCGGGCGCTCGGAGGAAGGGAATGTCCAGAGACCCGGAGGGGTCGCCGAGATCGTACGTCTTGAGCGAAGGGCACACATCCATCTCGTCGAGACGGCTGAGGTCGGGGAAGAACCTGGCACCGAGCGAGGCCACGTCGATCTCGACATCCTCATCGTCTTCCTCTTCGCGAGTTGCGCCGGCCTCAGACTCGACCAGAGAGGCGTCCATATCAACATCTCCGTCCTCATCGCCAGCCGTGGCATCGGTTCGCCTTTGTGTTGGCTTGGCGGATGCGCTGGTGGCCTGGGTATCATTGGCATCGTCGCTGCTGTCAAAGACGATGCGGCCTTGCTGATCTATCATCAAGTGGTTGAGGAGGAGGCCCTTTGCGCCGCCCTCGTCAAAGTCAGCCGAGGCCTTTTTGAACAGCGGGTCGACGGCAAACTCTAGCTCGAGCTTTTTGAGCTGGAGGGAGGCGAATGAAGGCGCCAGGGTTGCTTCTGACGACCTTTGGGTCTATATAATCCCATAGTCAGCAAGCCATCGCAATCAAGAAATAAATAGAGCGCAGAAACTACTGACCTTCTTCCGCGCCTTCTTCCTAACATTCCCATCCTCATCAACCTCATCCTCTTCATCCTCCCCTTCCCCATCCTCCCCCTCGCCACGATTCTTCTTCTTACTGTCCCGACTCTCAGCCAAACCAGTAAGCAACCGATTCGTCTCGGTCGCCACACTATCAACACGACTAGTATAAATCTTGACACATCCATCAAGCGTACAACTAGCTTTCTGGAAATTAACCCCATCCCCTTCCTTCAGCAACGAAAGATCATGAAAATAATCAATCAGCGCAAAATTCCACGAATTCGTAGCATTGATCTTGTTATCAGTCGCCATCTTCATCCACTCCTCAAAGTTGGCCAGGATAGGCACCCTCTTCATAGGAGTGACTGCCGTGCCGCCGACTACGAAGCGGTCCTCATCGTCGATTAGACTGTTTTCCTTGTTGCCGCTCCTGCGCGGGCCGTTCCGGTTGGCGGTTGGCGTGCGCGGGGCCGAGATGGGTGACGAGTTGACATTGTCGAGGTCGGATATGGTTAGGGGCGCGCCGCCGCTGCCTTTTCGCGGCGTTGCTGCTGCTGCTTTGAGCTGGTTGATTTGGGCTTCGTGGAGGGCTTTGCGGCCGTGGGAGCGCCGGGCTTTTTCTTCTGCGTCGTCGTTTAATGGGATTCTGAACATGGGAGAGTTGGGCATATTAGTGCCTTTGTTGCTTTTGGGACCTGGAAAACACGCCGTGACACTCACTTTACTGGCGATTTGAAAGGCGAAGCACCGAATGAGCCAGACACCTGTCGGCTGGTGCTTCTACGCGGTCCATCCCTTACCCGGGGCATCTTTTCTGTTGCTTGCTGTATAATATCGATAATAGTTTGTCGTTAGTTTCGCTCGTTTGTCGCGGAAATCCAGAAATTCGCGACTCGATGGTGGTGATGTATGCGACGTCGTCGTCGGCTCCGGGCTTGGCTTGTTCTTCGTTGGACTCGACCGACTTTTGGGGAGTTTGGCGATTTTGGCGAAATGTTTGTTTACTTTGCGACCGCCCAGCCAATGCGCTGGCCGCCAGACTGCGGGGCGGCTGGCGCTCTGGTAGGCTGGTCCCGGCTCACGTGAAGAGGGTGGGGAATGTGGGGGAAGAACTCGGGATGGCTGATGACATAAGCATGTGGCTGGATGAAAGAGCATGTCATTTCATCTCGTGTGTCTTTAGGTACGCAAGGTACGTACTGATTCTGTACAGATGCATCTTGAACTCCGTGAGGAGTAATACAGTTTGTTGAGTGAACGCGTTGAATGTGTTCATGCCGTGAGAATGTGCTTCATCAATGAGCAATGCTTGACCTTAGCTTGGCTGAAGAATTGGACGATATCGTCGGATGACGATCCGTAGACCTGCACCAAAGTCTATTCCGCAGCTTTCAACGGTGTGTATTGGTACGGAACAAGGATACGGGCAACCGCAGCATCGGTGTCGGCCAAGAACACCACCTGCCACGCAATCTTCGCCTCATCTT